ATGGTCTAATGAGCTGCACATCAATCGTCACGGTCTATTGAGCTGCACATCAATCGTCATGGTCTATGGTGACGGACGTGATGATAGAAAGGAATGTGTGGTCGGGTTACTTAATACCACATTCAATGGCCTGACATTACCACAGCTGAATGATGAGGAATTCTACCGTCGACTGGCATATGTGGTCCACCTCGCTGTACTTATTGCAGTCGGTATCCCAGGTAACCTCCTCGTTCCTGTTGTGTTCTTCCGTTACTTCAGCCAATCTATACACAAAGCTTTTATTTTGGTTGTGGCAGCCCTGTCAGTGAGCTGCATCTCGCTCCCGTTTGAGATCGTTGGAATGAGATACCAGTACAGGTTTTACACATTTATTGCCTGTAAGATCTTCAGAGCAAACAACAGCTTTCTTACGTTTGCTACCATGCTCATCCTCACATCATACTGTTTTCTCTGATATTGTCTTCTGCACATTTCGTCACCAGTGGGAAACGACATGTTGAATTGGAACACAATATAACTGGGTATGATTGATCCCTCGCCGATTATTTGATCCACAGTGGCTTTCCACTTGTGCTGAATGCGGTTTTGTTAGTGTTAAGGGGTGTTTACAGAGCCTTTGTATTCTTTTATTGCTAAACAAATCTCCAAGATTCCTTTAGTAGTTTACTACATTATATATATATATATATTATTAAGAGTTTCTTCCGTGCGAGTGAAATTGTTAAAACTTAACATTGTGTGTGTTCTATATGTTAAAATTTCTATATCTTCTTGTTGGAATGTTAGTTCCAGAGCTCGAATACAAGTCTGTTCTAACTAGTGCTGTAGTATTCTGTCTATATGATCATAAAATCGCTGTCACCCTTTTCTTTATCTCCATATGTCTCATGTATTTAGGGTAGAGTACCACATGCGTGTGAAATCTTACTCATTTTTTCAAGACAATATTTATTCTAAAACTTCCAGACATCTGTGCTGCATTTAATATTCAAAATGTTTTTGCATTTAAGCACCTTGAAGGTCAACCATTGTAAAGTGTCATTTACACCACATAAAAATAACATTTTCGCTCAATGACAGAAACTTTCTGTAATAATCATGATAATGTAGAGATAAAACTTAAAAGGCACTTACCTTCCCTTACCTCATTAACTATTAGATACACTGGTCCGTACACATCAAACACCGAATCTGGCCCCTCACGCAGTTACACTGCCTTACAAAAGCAATGCTCCGTACACATCAAACACCGAATCTGGCCCCTCACGCAGTTACACTGCCTTACAAAAGCAATGCTCCGTACACATCAAACACCGAATCTGGCCCCTCACGCAGTTACACTGCCTTACAAAAGCAATTAACACAAGCTGATAACTTGTTTTGTAAATGTGGTAAAATTGATCAAGTTTGGTTTATAAATAGAACTATAGCAACATGTACAAGTATGTATAAATATGAAATGTAAAGAAATAGATAAGTCAACATCTTTAAAAGAATATCTTTGTTTATGAGGATCCATAACTCACTAAATAGATATAATGTATATTAACAATACACTATAGACAAGCTAATAGATGATATACCATGACGACTGTATACGAAACCAGATTTAAGGTCTCCCTGCCGTTTTCTGATCTAAAACTATATCACAAAATCTCTTGATTTATATGATATATGAAAATTAGGAAATTTCTTTAACTATGGGACTCCAGCACCTTTCTGTCTAGATTTTGGCTTTTCTTTCGATCACTTTGGATTTTCTTCAGTCGCCTCTAACGCTTCAAATGTTAGGACCTTAGCATCACTGCCGAGTCTTAAAAGGACGAAACAGTTGTATGATGTAGCGTCACTGGCGAGTCCTAGAAGGACGAAACAGCTGTACTATGTAGCATCTCTGACAAGTCCTAGAATGACGACACAGCTGTATGATGTAACATCACTGACGAGTCCTAGAATGACGAAACAGCTGTATGATGTAACATCACTGACGAGTCCTAGAATGACGAAACAGCTGTATGACGTAACATCACTGACGAGTCCTAGAATGACGAAACAGCTGTATGACGTAACATCACTGACGAGTCCTAGAATGACGAAACAGCTGTATGAAGTAACATCACTGACGAGTCCTAGAATGACGAAACAGCTGTATGATGTAGCATCACTGACGAGTCCTAGAATGACGAAACAGCTGTATAATGCAATTCAACTGATTGCCTGGTTCTAACTGTATCTAACTCTAAATTATGAAAAGGAGCTATTCACTTGTGTGTCTCTTGTACTATCTTTTAGATTTCAAGATATCGTCAGTGCTGTTCTGACAACGCATATATGAAGAAGACGAGGTATGAAGACCACGTCCCATAATATATTAAGAGACTCAAGATTCCGAGATTCTCTCTATCCTGTATTATCAGATAAATCTAACACACCTAGCCCTTCATCACCAGATTTAGAGACTGCATTTTGTAAATAAACATTATTTTCATATTTCTATTCCTTTTTTCCTTGCAGATCCGATATATCGACATCGAGGTTAATTTTGACTATCTCTGGTATATCGACATGGAGTTTAATCTTTTACTGATAGACCTGGTATCTCGACATGGAGTTTGATCTTTTACCAATAGACCTGGTATCTCGACATGGAGTTTAATCTTTTACTGATAGACCTGGGTTATCGACATCAAGTTTAATATTTTACCAATAGACCTGGTATCTCGACATGGAGTTTAATCTTTTACTGATAGACCTGGTTTATCGACATCAAGTTTAATATTTTACCAATAGACCTGGTATCTCGACATGGAGTTTAATCTTTTACTGATAGACCTGGTATCTCGACATAGAGTTTAATCTTTTACTGATAGACCTGGTTTATCGACATCAAGTTTAATATTTTACCAATAGACCTGATAAAGCGACATCGAGTTTAATCTTTTACTGATAGACCTGGTATATCGATATCGAGTTTAATCTTTTACTGATGGACCTGATAAAGCGACATCGAGTTTAATCTTTTACTGATGGACCTGATAAAGCGACACCGAGTTTAATCTTTTACTGATAGACCTGGTATATCGATATCGAGTTTAATCTTTTACTGATGGACCTGATAAAGCGACATCGAGTTTAATCTTTTACTGATAGACCTGGTATCTCGACATGGAGTTTAATCTTTTACTGATAGACCTGGTATATTGACATCAAGTTTAATCTTTTACTGATAGACCTGGTATATCGACATCAAGTTTAATATTTTACCAATAGACCTGGTATATCGATATCGAGTTTAATCTTTTACTGATGGACCTGATAAAGCGACATCAAGTTTAATCTTTTACTGATAGACCTGGTATATCGATATCGAGTTTAATCTTTTACTGATGGACCTGATAAAGCGACATCGAGTTTAATCTTTTACTGATGGACCTGATAAAGCGACATCGAGTTTAATCTTTTACTGATAGACCTGATAAAGCGACATCGAGTTTAATCTTTTACTGATAGACCTGATAAAGCGACATCGAGTTTAATCTTTTACTGATAGACCTGATAAAGCAACATCGAGTTTAATCTTTTACTGATAGACCTGGTATATCAACATCAAGTTTAATATTTTACCAATAGACCTGATAAAGCGACATCAAGTTTAATCTTTTACTGATAGACCTGGTATATCGACATCAAGTTTAATATTTTACCAATAGACCTGGTATATCGAAATCGAGTTTAATATTTTACCAATAGACCTGATAAAGTGACATCGAGTTTAATCTTTTACTGATAGACCTGATAAAGCGACATCGAGTTTAATCTTTTACTGATAGACCTGGTATATCGACATCAAGTTTAATATTTTACCAATAGACCTGGTATATCGAAATCGAGTTTAATCTTTTACTGATAGACCTGGTATCTCGACATGGAGTTTAATCTTTTACTGATAGACCTGATAAAGCGACATCAAGTTTAATCTTTTACTGATAGACCTGATAAAGCGACATCGAGTTTAATCTTTTACTGATAGACCTGGTATATCGACATCAAGTTTAATATTTTACCAATAGACCTGATAAAGTGACATCGAGTTTAATCTTTTACTGATAGACCTGGTATATCGATATCGAGTTTAATCTTTTACTGATGGACCTGATAAAGCGACATCGAGTTTAATCTTTTACTGATGGACCTGATAAAGCGACATCGAGTTTAATCTTTTACTGATAGACCTGATAAAGCGACATCGAGTTTAATCTTTTACTGATAGACCTGATAAAGCGACATCGAGTTTAATCTTTTACTGATAGACCTGATAAAGCGACATCGAGTTTAATCTTTTACTGATAGACCTGATAAAGCGACATCGAGTTTAATCTTTTACTGATAGACCTGATAAAGCGACATCGAGTTTAATCTTTTACTGATAGACCTGATAAAGCGACATCGAGTTTAATCTTTTACTGATAGACCTGATAAAGCGACATCGAGTTTAATATTTTACTGATAGACATGGTATATCAACATCAAGTTTAATATTTTACCAATAGACCTGGTATATCGAAATCGAGTTTAATCTTTTACTGATAGACCTGGTATATCGACATCAAGTTTAATCTTTTACTGATAGACCTGATAAAGCGACATCAAGTTTAATCTTTTACTGATAGACCTGGTATATCGACATCAAGTTTAATATTTTACCAATAGACCCGGTATATCGAAATCAAGTTTATTCTTTTACTGATAGACCTGGTATATCGACATCAAGTTTAATCTTTTACTGATAGACCTGATAAAGCGACATCGAGTTTAATCTTTTACTGATAGACATGGTATATCAACATCAAGTTTAATATTTTACCAATAGACCTGGTATATGGAAATCGAGTTTAATCTTTTACTGATAGACCTGGTATATCGACATCAAGTTTAATCTTTTACTGATAGACCAGATAAAGCGACATCAAGTTTAATCTTTTACTGATAGACCTGGTATATCGACATCGAGTTAAATCTTTAATATCAAAGAAGGTGTGAGGTTGTTTTGGTGTAATCCTGTGTTTTGGCACCCACAACCTTGGGTTTAGGATTATCATTCTTATGGTATGTAAATGGTTCCTTGTTGGCATTGAGGCAGCTCTCAGTCTTGAAGGGACAATTCTGGAGGTGAATCAATAAAGGGTGGGCCCCTTGGTATTCCCATTGTCTCACAGGGTCAAAGGTTTTACAGAATCTCCAGCTCTGAGAACGTAAAAAAAAAATATACATATATTACTTTATGGATATTGCTTACAGGTTTAGCTAACATTAATTCATACATATGACATACACTAAGTAAGATATAATAACACAGTAATCTGTAAATAGATATGTGAATCATTTGATTGAATGATTAAGATATATTTTTATTGTCATCAAACAACCAGGATTAGGCAAAAGTTATAACAACTTAGTGATGCCTTCTCCCGAATCATTTATAAAGGGATGTGTAATTAGATATGTGAATCCTTCATAAAGGGATGTATGATCAGATATGTGAATCCTTCATAAAGGGATGTATAATCAGATATGTGAATCCTTTATAAAGGGATGTATTATCAGATATGTGAATCCTTTATAAAGGGATGTATAATCAGATATGTGAATCCTTTATAAAGGGATGTATTATCAGATATGTGAATCCTTTATAAAGGGATGTATAATCAGATATGTGAATCCTTTATAAAGGGATGTATAATCAGATATGTGAATCCTTTATAAAGGGATGTATAATCAGATATGTGAATCCTTTATAAAGGGATGTGTAATCAGATATGTGAATCCTTTATTTATAAAGGGATGTATGATCAGATATGTGAATCCTTTATAAAGGGATGTATAATCAGATATGTGAATCATTTATAAAGGGATGTATAATCAGATATGTGAATCATTTATAAAGGGATGTGTGATCAGATATGTGAATCCTTTATAAAGGGATGTATAATCAGATATGTGAATCATTTATAAAGGGATGTATAATCAGATATGTGAATCCTTTATAAAGGGATGTATAATCAGATATGTGAATCATTTATAAAGTGAATCCTTTATAAAGGGATGTATAATCAGATATGTGAATCATTTGTTAAGGAATGTGTAATTAGATATGTGAATCCTTTATAAAGGGATGTATAATCAGATATGTGAATCCTTTATAAAGGGATGTATTATCAGATATGTGAATCCTTTATAAAGGGATGTATAATCAGATATGTGAATCATTTATCCTTTATAAAGGAATGTGTAATCAGATATGTGAATCCTTTATAAAGGGATGTATAATCAGATATGTGAATCCTTTATAAAGGGATGTATAATCAGATATGTGAATCATTTATTAAGGAATGTGTAATTAGATATGTGAATCATTTATTAAGGGATGTATAATCAGATATGTGAATCCTTTATAAAGGGATGTATAATCAGATATGTGAATCCTTTATAAAGGGATGTATAATCAGATATGTGAATCCTTTATAAAGGGATGTATAATCAGATATGTGAATCCTTTATAAAGGGATGTATAATCAGATATGTGAATCCTTTATAAAGGGATGTGTAATTAGATATGTGAATCCTTTATAAAGGGATTTGTAATTGTAGTTGAAGAATTAGACATTTAGACAATGAATTGGGAATATTTTTTGTCAACCACTGTGACCACATACAGATAAGTAAGTCACTCTTTATATCACTTACATGGGCATAGGGAAATGTAATTAGACACTTGAATACATACGGGAGTACGTTGCAAAATATATAATTTATTTATGTGGGTGTTGTCTCAATTGTTTTACATACGAATAATTTACACAGAAATAAGTAATATACAAACCTAAATGATGTATACCTAAATTGGCAGAACCAATACTTATTAGTAAGACTGTGTATTCTAATCATGGAGAACTTTGTAGTATATTGTAGTTACGTAACTTATAATAGGTTTGTGGTACTTAGTGTTTATATAAGAACAAATCAATCTGTATAAAGCCAGAATTTAGAATCAGGAAATACATCTTTTTGATTAAAGAATAGGAACATAAATAACGTGTGGGTAAAATAGAGCAAAAGTTGATCTGTATTTACCATTTGTTTGACTATCCATTTCTTATCCTTCACACTGCCATCTGCCATTGTCCACGTTGTGTCCAGCTTCCGGTCATCAGAACCACCTATGACATCCCTCTGCCCAGTTCCCCCTATAAATTTTGTCCAGACAGGAGTCACAATACCCTTGTCAACAAGCATGAGGCTACAGATATCACGAAGGAAGTGACATGTGACAGACAAGTTACATAGGCTGAATCCATCCAGATAACTGGCTATTTTCTGTAGAAGTTCAAGTGGCAGAAGCAGGAGGCCTGCATACTGCTTTTGATCATCCTGTGATATGGAACGAATGAGTGCCAAACTGGATTGGTGGGAGAAATTTTTCACATTTTTCCTTTTGGAAGTCATGAAATCCTGATCACTGATGCCCGAACTTTCCAGTCTGTTACAAAGTTCATCAGTATCTACAGTAACATTTGGTAACCCTTGTTGTGACCTTTGACCTTTTGTGTCTAAAATCTGTGCATTTGTTCCTGATGGTTGCACTTGATTGTCTATATTTTGTAAACCAACAGCATCTAACCAATCGCTGTAAACTATTCTTCTGTTTCCATTTGGTTTGAAATGTTCATAAGAAAAATCACACCCTGCAAAAGAAAATGGACATGAATCGCTGTAATTGTGCAAATCCTTTCCGCCTAAATCTTCCACAACATTCTTTGCATACCAGAAATAGTCAGCTCTCTTGATATCCTGATTATTGAAAGAAATGACACTGGCGTTACAGTTAGGCAGATGCTGGGGCAGTTTACCACGAGGGAACTCCTGGCAACAACCATATTCACGATTCAGGCAAGGTACTTTCATATTTTTGCAAAATTTTTCATGTTGAAGCTCTTTGCACTTGTGAAATTTCAATGGACATCCATATTTACAGTTTATGATATCACAGCAGTTGACGTCATCCGAAAGTACTTTACAGTCAGAGCGGATGCAGGTTTTACAATGGTTGTGAAGAGAAATCTGAACATATCCTTCCAACATCTTTATGTACCATATGAAAGCCTGAAAACACAACAAGGTATATATCATATTTCAGTGTCATATTTTATATAGAAATACAAACAATGCATCCCACATGATACAAATACCCTCACGTCTCAAATTTGTATGTCAAATGACAACTTACAAGTGTTCACAAACATCACTTTTTGTACGAGTTCGCATTTGTACCTTTTACAGTGCAAATATATGTAAAGATATCGGGGGGTCCCATTTAGGGCTCCCATAGCTTCTAATATTTCAAAATATCTATACATGTATCCCAAGGACCATAATACATCACACTTCTTCTAGATTATAAAGTCAGTGTCATTGTGTGTGATGTCTTGTTACAAACTACGTTTTCTCCCGTTAACATCAATTTAATGTTACAAACTTACACAAGAAAGTTCAGCATTCTAAATCTGGTTTAAGACAGGATTGGAGTCGAAAGCATCATCTTATTTACTTGTTATCTTTCCTGATCTTATCCAATGTTATCAATACTTGCTTTAGAAAAGTACAAGCAATATTAACTATAACTAACCATTTGGAATTCTTTGATAAATGTACTGGATTTACCAAACATATTCATGTTATTTTTCCATTGTTGTTATTAGCATATCTTCTTTTTTTAGTAGGTCAGACCTCCCTGGTATGGATGGTTACTGTAGTGAGATGGGGACGTAAAATGTGATATATAAGTAACACTCTTTTTTTTTTTATAAATTTTGGATTTCCCATAAAACTTGTACAAAGTTACAAAAGACTTTTTAAGGGGGTTGGTAGAACAGATCAGGTCTGGGATGATACGGCTAAATGGCAACTGATTTGAAGTCCGAGTTGTGTTGTCCCCTCAACTTTTTTGTCACTATAAAACTCCTAATAACCACTGATCACTCTCACCTCACCAAGCCATTAACGGACAGGGACTTGTTGAATCAATCACTACTTTGGGGCGCTTTTTAAGTCACACGTATAAATTTTCACTCAATATACGTTCCCTGTATTATGTATATAACTTACAACACATCTAATCACCTGTGCTCCGGACGGTGGTTCGGCCAACGCCCACTTCCCATGAACGATCACTCGAGGATTCGTCGCTGCCCTCTCGCGTAACCAGGTGAATATAAGAAAAAGCGACCCAATTTTAAAATTCCGAGTCTGAGTGTTGATGCACGAAGGGACGCAACTCTTACTGATCCCGTGTAAAATTATCGTCTTGTACGCATGCTATTAAATTCAATTTTTTCATTAACCAGTCCCCAGCAATCTAAGAAGAAAAATTCCACCACAGAAACATGTTGTTCGCTGACTTATTTTAATGTTGCTTTCCAAAACTTCCTTCGTCTGCTGTCCGTCTTTATGCGGTGCAATTACCATTTTCTAGAGAAGTGTAGTTGATGGATTTCATATGCATACATGAAAAAAGCCTTAGACCACGAACATTACCACTAAATACTGTTACTGTTTCGTATGCAAAAATTTGTTAGTCTGGTGATTCTGTCGCACTATTTATTCACGTGTCAATACAAAAAATAATTAACTTTAAAAAGTAAAACAACGAACAAGGACTATCAACCTAACATCAAACCAGAAACATGTCTCTGATCAGAGACGTATATATCACGTATATATACACGTCTCTGCTCTGATCAAACCAATACAGAACAACACGAGATCGATGGCCATTACAATCCCGATATTTTGCATAGCAGCACTGGAAATAGCGACCTTGTCAGTCCTAATGGATGTCGATTTGATCCCAACAAAAGAAACAATTAGTCAGGACGATTTGGATAATATTAATTATGATAAATTTGGACAAGTTTGAACATTTTCACTGGTACAACCAGACACGTGATATATACGTCTCTGGTACAACTTTAGAAGTTTTGTTGTTCAAGAAAACCATGATTTCGCATTCATGTTACACAATGGCCGCCGTGGTAGGTAGCAATTCAGAACTTTAGATGAGTCGTCCCTACCAATTTTCAGTTCAAAGATTCCAGAGGAACTTGAGAAGAAGATTGTGTTTCCAAGATGGCGGCTATCTTTTGACCTGCTCGATAAAAAATATGGTCAGCATCATTCGTGGCAATTTTCAGATCAATTTTAATTGTAGAACTTGTGAAGTTTAAAATATGTTTTTTTTCTAAGATGGCAGCCATCTTGGATTTCGCACTTTCTCGATAGATAAATGTAAGAAATTTAGGTCAGCACCACCTCGGGATCATTCATGGAGTGTTTCAGATTAATCCTACTGATGGAACTTGAGAAGTCTCAAATATGAAAAGTTGATGTACAACTGACGACACGAAAGCTCATCCTGAACCCTTTAGATGACCTAAAATTGGGCTTTCTTGTCAAGAACAAATCCACGTTTTTTTCTCTCGTACGCTTAAATTGATGTTTTAGTGAAGCAAAATATGGATGGTGGAGGATACCAGGCACTAGTAAAACCTCTCCCATTTATTATTTACAAGCATCGACTGTGCCGTGTTGTAACAATCCGTCTGATAGGCATAAATGTTTTGGTGACATGAAAGGCATCAGATAAAAACAGACAAGTGTATCTTAAATCATTTTATTCCAAATTCTTGGAAGAATTCATTATATACAATGTGCAACTTTATGTATGGTGTGTTGACATCCGTGATTTGCCTCGTATCTTCAAACAATTAAAACAACATCAGAAACTCAACAGTATCCGATAAAAGTTATTTCCCTTAGTTTCAGATTCCTGATTTATGTGCAATATTTCCCTATGGATCTATTACCTTAGACCAAACCCAATCCATAGTTTTACACTTTTTATGTCAATCAAACATTTCCAAGGAAGGTTTTGGGGCTTTGACTACACAAAACACACTATTATATTGTCAGATGGAGACATGGTCTGTCTTGATAAAGAAATTAGATGAGAATTGTTCTTTCTGAAAATGCACTTTCAGGACAACTTTACCGTTAACTTTCTACAAATTTCCATTTTTGAAACACGATGTTTGAGCATCAAATTCAAAGACTTGATACAAGTTCTCTGCTTAAATGATAATCAGAGAGTCAGTTACAAAACACTGTGTATGCATTAGATATATTTGTCCATGATCAAGTTCAATGAGAGATCCAAAACAGATGTTGGTACCCACAATAATCTTATCTTTATTGGTGCCCTCAATCTTTTGATCTTTATTGGCGTCACAATCGTTTGATCTTTATCTATTTTTGAAAGCTGGATCAAAGGAACCTACATGTACATATGAAATTTGAAAATGATCCATCTAGCAATTCTCTAGGAAAAGCAATAACACAAATTGTTCATTGATGAACAATGGAAGGGTACGGAGCCCTGGAAGGGACATCACAGTTTTTTTTCTTAAATCCGTGGCCTCGGTTTAGTAATTTGTGGTCTCGGTTTACTAATACTTCAACCAAAGCCACAGATCACTTAAACTGAGGTCACAGATTACTTATACCGAGGCCACGGATTAATAAACCCAGACCACGGATTAATAAACCGAGACCACAGATTAATAAACCCAGGCCATCGATTGCTTAACTGAGGTCACCAATTAACACTTTTTCCTTATGTCCCTTCCCGGGCTCCGTAGAAGGGCCACATAGTATTGCTCACCATCTGATTAAGGTTAGCTAAAAAGAGTGGAGACTGTTTGCTGGTTTAACAATGGGAGACATAATTCAGAGTCAATGATATTTAAATACACCACAAAAACAATATTTTATTATGGTGTGTACTCTCCTGTTACTTGTCACATTGTCTTCAGATACAAGATTTGATGTGCATCGCAATACAACAAACACTTAAACAAAATTTACAATATTAATGAATGAATGCATAGACATGAGAATGACAATGGAGAAGTACAATATCATTACTGGTCCAAATCATTAAGGTTACAAAAATATCATCCTCGATACCCCTGGGTTAAGATCACTTTCGTTTTCCGCACCCCTGGAACATGTCATGGCAAAATTTAAGGCACAAACTTAACAATTTCATTGGTTCCAGGAGGAAAAAACTGACCAATCACTGGCTGATATGCTTCTTTTGAAGATTATTAAGGAGCGATACCCAACTTCAAAGCCACGACAATATACCTATATGCGACCTCGAGATCCGCTTGATGTACATCAAAGGATTAAACTAGTCTTTCTGTCTTGTCCACAAGGTGTCACACATGGAGCCTTCAACTGTGTCATGACATGGCAGGGAGTGAATGTGATCATAACTCCTGGAGTATCGAGGATTGTCTAATGTCAACAAATAAATCTATTTACAAAACACTGAAATTTGGTTTTCTTCTCAAAATTGTGATGAATCTAGCTAGCACAACAACTATAAATATTATCAAGGTATAATGTGATACTATATTTTACAAAGTGTAATACCACATTACTTACAGGCCTTAAGTTAGCTATGTCCATATCCAATCATCAGATAGACTGGTACCTCTTTAGTTTCGACCGATATCAATAATGAATTCAACTGCCTAGTAACAACAATTATTTTTACTTTTACCCATACATGAATGGTACGTCCTGGTAAACAGGACTTCACTTATTTCCACACTGATATCGAGCACCAGAAAATAATGAAGAAAGCAGATTCAAAATATCCCAACTTCACATTGTGTATCTGAAACATCTACTGAAAAGCATTCAAGTCATTGTACACACATTCATACCGTATCTGTTCAAAACCAAATGACCCCATCGAACGAGGATACAGTAATATGCTCGTTTTGTGAAATAGACTTCTTAAGTTAGAAGAGAAAACAGTGTCAAAGTTACATAAGAAATATTAGATCTTAAAAGACAAATAAAAAAAACTTTCAAAACGTTTCTGTGATGTGTTGCAGGAAAATGGCAGTCAAAACTAGCTCTACTCTAGTAAATTAAGCTTGAGACATTTATGACCACTACTTACAACTTTTCAAGAGACAACCTGGTAATCATTTCATAATTCGTACAACTGTCATGCCTCTCACACCTCTTAATTTATCTGTCAGTTAAGTTGATCAAGCTGTTTATGTCTCGACATTTCAGGGGAAAAAAGTCGATTGAGTGATTAGATACCTCAGACATTTATGGAACTAATTTACTTCCAAACACCACACCTTTGTTGTTCATGAATGCATAAAAATTTGATTGAAAAATATCTCAAGTAAACAAAATAAAGTTTATGTTACCACACTAGGCATTTTATATTCAACAATGCTTAAAACTTTATCCTTAGAGAATTCCTACTACTCAACAGTCGAGTACATTACTCAATCAAGAATTTATCAAAATTCAGCACTTATGAGTAAGTAAAAACGAAGAACAGGCTAAAACATGATGAAACATAAATAAGCAGGTTGTATATTATTGTACATGAAAATAGCACATCCATCCATCATACTATGGTCTTGTCAAATCTGTCAAAAATATGACTTGCATTCAAAATACAAGACGGTTTACAAATAATATGAACATAAAATTTATTTGCTACAAATATAGATATCATGCAGCTCAATGAATCTAGTTTTTGACTGATCTGTGTCACTATAAGAGAAAATGTATGTATAACTACACGAGGTAATTAAAGAAATCAACACACTAAAAGCAACTTCTCAATTTAAACATTATACATTGCAACATATCTCAAAGATCTATTCATACGATGACATTTACAAACACTGTGAACAATAATGTAATTATATTACACAAGAAAAGTCTTCATCTTCAAAACAGTAAACCCAACAATTTTGTGAAGATAACACAATAAAGTCTCCAATGTAAGTGGTGTTCAGTCAATTTCGTATGACGTCTGTTTACAGGAACATGTTAAAGCTGCCCGCAGGTTTGTTAAAGATCCTCCTGCAATTTTGAATGCTAATCCACCAGTGAGAAACATGATGATGTAAGCAGGAATTAGGCTCCCCCAGTAGGTTGGTGTATGAGTCTCACTTCTCTGGTTTAATAAGGTCTGAAAGAAAAAACATACAAAATCTGTTATAAAATATTTAGAACTTCTTTTAATGGATTGCAATTTTTTTCTATAGATGATATATCAAAATACACTTCATACCTGTTGTAAAATTGTTTTCATAATAATTAGACCTTTTAAAGTAAAAAAAAAGAAGTAGTTTTATATTTTTTCATGCCTGCATTGTTCCCAATTCATTGTATTAGGTAACTATTTTTTTTAACCAAATCTTGTAGAATATCGAAATTACTGATCTATCTAGTATCATCCAAACCTACCTGACTTCAAAGTCTGAGTATGATTCTTATCTTTAATATTTTACTAGTTTACAATAAATGTGGTTTGTATCTCTACTGTAAAGTTTTTGTTAACTTATATCACTGAAATCAATGAATTTAAAAATGGCTTACCAAACAGGACACTAGCATGTGAGAGATGACAACAATGGCCGCATACTGGAACTTCCTCTTATCCCAGGCATGGAAAAATATTATCCCCCAGAATGTGTGCAGAAATACAAAGCTTAATGTCAGGAATGCTGAAATCCCAATTATCAAATTTGTATATAATTTATTCCAGTTATCAAATGTTATTACAATCTATTCCAATTATTAGATTTCATTACAGTCTATTCTAATTATAAGATTTTATTACAATCTATTCCAGTTATCATATTTACATACACTTGTTCTGATCAATAGATTACGAAAATCTAAATCAAGACAGTATTTTCTTGCAATTTACCAAAAATGAGATTTTTTACAAATTAAGTGCTCTCAATATAAAAAAGTGCATGTCTTTCAAGACTACTTCTAATACAAAGTCAAGATTATGTGTATATGCTTCAGCAATTATGATATCATGAGATAACAAGAGGCCCATGGGGCTAAGCAGTTACTGACTGATCTCAACCAAACTTCAATCATGATGGGCCACAACTCTGAAAGATGCACCTGAATCTACCCCATTGTTTAACTCATTTGAGATCTAATTCATATACGGCTGTATACCAAGTTTAATTAAAATCTGATCACATACACTCAATGTGTTCACCAGGTACATGGCAAATGTCAAGGGCCATAACTCTGTAAATTACAACTTAATCAGTCCCATTGTCAAATTCATGTGGTTGCATACCAAGCTTTATCAAAATCTCTTGGCATTTACTGAAATGATAGTGTTCAAAATGTCAAATAGTAATTTAACAGGAAAGGGACATAACACTGTAAGTTATCATGGCATCAATCTTATTGTTATTATAGGTTCACATACCAAGCTTCATTAAAATCTTTATCTATTTACTCAGGTTATCATGTTCATCAGAAAAAGTTGAACAGATGACAACTGACCATGATGGACAAACAATGATCTCAATAGGTCGTCATGACCTCAGGTCAGGTGACCTAAAAGCACATTCCATTTAATATTCATTAAAAAATATTTGATTAGTATTTATTGATATTATCACTACAACCACAAATTATCATGTATAATTAGAAAAGATTTCTAGCAATGAGAAGGAAAACTTGCTAGTGTCAGTAAGACCATGTTTTATGGGTGATTCTCATCAACTTTTAATCCATTCTCCTGATTACAAATTATCTATGTAGATTTCTGTAGTACCTTACCAGTGACTACAAAGAAGAAATGGGAGTCGCCTTGGATACCCACAGTTCCTGGCCCAACCATATCTGCTAAAACATTGACGATGGAGAATGCTCCGCTGATAATTCCATAACCAAGTCCAGAAACTGTAAAGTAGAGAGAGTTAAGGTAAATAATCACATAAATAGCCTTTGTAGCCAGGGAATGTGGCCATGTCCTCAATATCATGTGTTAAATATACAGAAATTATGTTACAGGATCAGATTTTCCCTTATATTCCCTTATTTAAACCTGCATACTCTGTGACAAAGGTAATATCACACTCCATATCATACTAATTTATCAAACTTAGCCAGGATTTGAATTAGTCTTTTAAATCAAAATCTTGTATCATGCCAAAATACAGAACTCAACAATGACCTGTATATAACATGTAAAATCTTATATACAGTGAAACCACGACCACCTCAAAATTACGACCATCTCGCTATTACGCGCATTTTTTTTCAGTCACATTTTTATTCACTATATATCTTTGTGTTGGTTTGGTTTTTATTCAGTCACTTTGACACACTTACGTGTGTAACAAGAGGTCACAAACATATAATTTACATGATACGTGGCGTATGACAGGTGCAATTACAACAATTTCTGTAAATGATAGTAATAATTACTAACTATCGCATTCATGTATTAACAATTTGGTACTTAAATTTGAACACTTAAATCAACAATTTATCAAGTTTTTCTATAAATCTACAAATTCTTGTAAATATTTTAACATTGAATATGTTAAACAATCCTTGCATTTTGCTATGACTTGGGTAAGTAAAGTAATATTTTGGTATATAGTTTTCTCTTAGACGTTTTACTGATTCGTTTTCGCATTTAAATGAATAGTGATATTCGTCTCCGATGTCAGAGTTACATAATGTGCAGAATCTTTCTTGATGAGGGATACCTGTCCATGAATGCACAATAAAGCTGTTTTCCGTGTGAAAAATATATTGAAATTAGTGAATATAAAACAAAAATATTATCGGCAGCAGAATGACCTTTTCTGAACCCAGCTTGAGCACAACATATAAGGTCAAATTCATCAGAAATTTTATTAAGGCGATTATTAATAACGGAAGTGAAAACTTTGCCGAGGCAAGACAATAAGGGGATCGCTCTATAATTATCCCGATCTTCTGGATCGCCTTTGTTTTTATATACTGGTTTTATTATACCAATCTTCCATGCATCCGGTATAGATGCAGTATTCAAGATAAGATTAAACACTTTTTGAAAGATTGGGGAAAATACATCCATGGTACTTTTAAGATATTCATTTAATTTGGTCTATACCAGGGGATTTATTGTTTTTTAAACTAATTAAAGATAACTTGATTTCTTCGGGTGTAATTTCATTATTCAGGTAATCATCAAAAATACTAACATCAGGATTTTCTAGTTCTAAATCCTCATCATCACAAACAGACATGTTCAGACCCTTTAAGTATTCATATAATTCAGTAATACATATATCCGCATTACCTTTCTTTACAGACCCGTCACATTTATTCAAAATATTCCAGAATTTTTTTGAATCCATTCTAGCAGTTTTTCTCATCTCATCTGACAATTTCTCCTCATAATTTCTCTAACTTTACTAGCTCTGTTCAGATTAGTTTTATTTACAGAACAGGTGGCGTTACACAAAGTAAACATCATTATCGAATTAACTTGGCCTACCCATGCAAAACTGCATGCCAGACACGTTTTAGTGGCGATCTATTGTTTGTTAATTATAAATTGATAGATCAGTAGGTATGCCGTTAAACACCTTAAAAGCCCTGCGTACCCAAAGGTGAATTATGTAGTCTTTTCGGCCGATATTCCTTTGCTCACACGTGCACAAGTTGTCAAGGTTTTTTAAACTGCTTTTGTAGCGCTATCACACTCTTGACATCGTTTGAACAATAAAAAAAAACATAATTATGCTCCAAATTTTTTACGATATATTTTCACTGTCACAAAACTCAGATGAACTTTATCACGCAATGATGACACCATGTAAACAAAACGAGATATCACGATCGCGAAAAAAGGACTTATGGAAGAGGAAGCTGTCCAGATCTGTAGCTCTTCACAACAGTGTACACCGGACTCTTTTTTTTTAGTAAAAAGACAAATGTGTTGTACTGAGTGATACACTGACAGAGTTATTGTGTTTACGAATTTATGTGAAAAAATGAAGTATTGAAAGACTTTGGAGTGACATTAATGTTGTTACAAATGTGTTTTACTGTGTAACACATTGCCTTAGATAATGTGTATGTAAATTAAGGTGAAATAATTGAAAAATTAACGTTAAATTCCTATTGTACTTAAAAGTGATTGTTTTCTTTTATTCAATGTTTACAATAGTAAATATACATGTATATTATGATATATACTAATGAACATATACATATATATTCTTTTGTCAATTCACCAATTTGATCAGTTTAGTTATTGTTGTTGATTAATATACATGTACATTATGATATATATGAAGTCTTTATTTTATATGGTTCAATCTGATCCACTTCACTATTACGACTACCTCGCTATTAAGACCACTTTTATATCACATGTACCAATGATGGAGAAATATCCTCTTAAGTAAACATCTTATGTACCAATGATGGACAAACATCCTCTATATCAAACATCACATGTACCAATGATGGACAAACATCCTCTATAGTAAACATCTTATGTACCAATGATGGAAAAACATCCTCTATAGTAAACATCACATGTACCAATGATGGAGAAACATCCTCTATAGTAAACATCACATGTACCAATGATGGACAAACATCACATGTACCAATGATGGAGAAACATCCTCTATAGTAAACATCACATGTACCAATGATGGAGAAACATCCTCTCAGGTAAACATCTTATGTACCAATGATGGAGAAACATCCTCTATAGTAAACATCACATGTACCAATGATGGACAAACATCCTCTATAGTAAACATCACATGTACCAATGATGGAGAAACATCCTCTATAGTAAACATCACATGTACCAATGATGGACAAACATCCTCTATAGTAAACATCACATGTACCAATGATGGAGAAACATCCTCTATAGTAAACATCACATGTACCAATGATGGACAAACATCCTCTATAGTAAACATCACATGTACCAATGATGGACAAACATCCTCTATAAATATCACATGTACCAATGATGGAGAAACATCCTCTATAGTAAACATCACATGTACCAATGATGGACAAACATCCTCTATAGTAAACATCACATGTACCAATGATGGACAAACATCCTCTATAGTAAACATCACATGTACCAATGATGGAGAAACATCCTCTATAGTAAACATCACATCCTCTATAGTAAACATCACATGTACCAATGATGGAGAAACATCCTCTACAGTAAACATCACATGTACCAATGATGGAGAAACATCCTCTATAGTAAACATCACATGTACCAATGATGGACAAACATCCTCTATAGTAAACATCACATGTACCAATGATGGACAAACATCCTCTATAGTAAACATCACATGTACCAATGATGGAGAAACATCCTCTATAGTAAACATCACATGTACCAATGATGGAGAAACATCCTCTATAGTAAACATCACATGTACCAATGATGGAGAAACATCCTCTATAGTAAACATCACATGTACCAATGATGGACAAACATCCTCTATAGTAAACATCACATGTACCAATGACATCCTCTATAGTAAACATCACATGTACCAATGATGGAGAAACATCCTCTATAGTAAACATCACATGTACCAATGATGGAGAAACATCCTCTACAGTAAACATCACATGTACCAATGATGGAGAAACATCCTCTATAGTAAACATCACATGTACCAATGATGGACAAACATCCTCTATAGTAAACATCACATGTACCAATGATGGAGAAACATCCTCTATAGTAAACATCACATGTACCAATGATGGAGAAACATCCTCTATAGTAAACATCAAATGTACCAATGATTGAGAAACATGCTCTATACGTAAACATCTAATGTACCAATGATGGAGAAACATCCTCTATAGTAAACATCACATGTACCAATGATGGAGAAACATCCTCTATAGTAAACATCACATGTACCAATGATGGAGAAACATCCTCTATAGTAAACATCACATGTACCAATGATGGAGAAACATCCTCTACAGTAAACATCACATGTACCAATGATGGAGAAACATCCTCTATAGTAAACATCACATGTACCAATGATGGAGAAACATCCTCTATAGTAAACATCACATGTACCAATGATGGAGAAACATCCTCTATATTAAACATCACATGTACCAATGATGGACAAACATCCTCTATAGTAAACATCACATGTACCAATGATGGAGAAACATCCTCTATAGTAAACATCACATGTACCAATGATGGAGAAACATCCTCTATAGTAAACATCACATGTACCAATGATGGAGAAACATCCTCTATAGTAAACATCACATGTACCAATGATGGAGAAACATCCTCTACAGTAAACATCACATGTACCAATGATGGACAAACATCCTCTATAGTAAACATCACATGTACCAATGATGGAGTAACACTGATAACTAACTACATTGAAAACCTTACCTGATATACACTGATAACTAACTACTTTGACAACCTTACCTGATATACACTGATAACTAACTACATTGAAAACCTTACCTGATATACACTGATAACTAACTACTTTGACAACCTTACCTGATATACACTGATAACTAACTACATTGAAAACCTTACCTGATATACACTGATAACTAACTACTTTGACAACCTTACCTGATATACACTGATAACTAACTACATTGAAAACCTTACCTGATATACACTGATAACTAACTACATTGAAAACCTTACCTGATATACACTGATAACTAACTACATTGACAACCTTACCTGATATACACTGATAACTGACAATGGATTCTAACTTATTTTCCATCAATACCACTTACTGTAAGCCATTATATGTCTGTTGGTGAAATCTTTTGGCTCCAAGTGCATATCTTGGTCTGTCTGGCTCACCATCTTCAAACCTTCATCTGCTTTTCTGCAAAGTAAAAAATGCAACAAAATTGATTATGTATTAATATTAAGATAAGCTCAAATACCTGTGAAATGTGCTAACATTGTAAAACTATGTGTTGATTTCCTTAATTGTATCAATATTACATCAGATTAATAAAACTGTGTCATCTTTTAAAATCATCAATAGCACATCTTACCTTATCAGTTTGTAGAATAACAGCCTAAAGAGTTCCTGAAAAATTACAGAAAACACAAGTCCAAAAGCCAGCTGTTCTCGCAAGGGTACAACTGCAAACCACAGGATGGATGATACCAGCAGCGCTAACAACCAGAAAAACCCACTGCAATTAAACAAAACATTTCAGAAAAACCTAGAGAAAATATTTCAAAACAAACTAAAAAGTATTTCTCAAATAATAATGTTCCCTGCTTTTAGGCTCAGTAAATTGACAGGATTGGATCTAGGTCAAATGTATATATAGAGTATATCTGGATACATTTCAGACTTGATCAGAACCTGGTATAAAACTGATAATACAGAGAAATAAAAATTAATGACAGACAGATACAAAGGGTGACAACTGTTAGTTAAAGTTGGTAATTGAATAGGTTCTTTTATTTCTATATTTCTCAACTCCATATGGATCTTTATCAACATACATTTTTGATGTTGAATACAAGTATAGTTAAGATTTAATCAGGATCAGATCAACTGTAACTATACAGTATATATATATATAAATAAATCAGATCAACTGTAACTATACAGTATATATATAAATCAGATCAACTGTAACTATACAGTATATATATAAATCAGATCAACTGTAACTATACTGTATATATATCAATCAGATCAACTGTAACTATACAGTATATATATATATCAGATCAACTGTAACTATACAGTATATATATATAAATCAGATCAACTGTAACTATACTGTATATATATCAATCAGATCAACTGTAACTATACAGTATATATATAAATCAGATCAACTGTAACTATACAGTATATATATTAATCAGATCAACTGTAACTATACAGTATATATATATCAATCAGATCAACTGTAACTATACAGTATATATATCAATCAGATCAACTGTAACTATACAGTATATATATATATATATCAATCAGATCAACTGTAACTATACAGTATATATATATATATCAGATCAACTGTAACTATACAGTATATATATATATCAGATCAACTGTAACTATACAGTATATATATATATATATATATATATATCAGATCAACTGTAACTATACAGTATATATATATATCAGATCAACTGTAACTATACAGTATATATATATATATATATATATATATATATATCAGATCAACTGTAACTATACAGTATATATATATAAATCAGATCAACTGTAACTATACAGTATATATATATATAAATCAGATCAACTGTAGCTATACAGTATATATATATCAGATCAACTGCAACTATATATATATATATATATATATCAGATCAACTGTAACTATACAGTATATATATATATATCAGATCAACTGTAACTATACAGTATATATATCTCAGATCAACTGCAACTATACAGTATATATATATGATCAACTGTAACTATACAGTATATATATATAAATAGATAACTGTAACTATACAGTATATATATATAAATCAGATCAACTGTAACTATACTGTATATATATATATCAGATCAACTGTAACTATACTGTATATATATAAATCAGATCAACTGTAACTATACAGTATATATATAAATCAGATCAACTGTAACTATACAGTATATATATATGA